ATCTCAATCACACTTTTTGAGACTGGATCTAACTTAGTCATCTGATTTTTTAACTTTTTATCTTGTTCTTCCACCTGAATTTTCACTTCTGTGATTGTTTGTTTATTCTCAAGTTTAATTAAATCTTTTATTTCTATACCCATATTATCTATTTTCACATTTAATTGCTTGATGTCAGCCTTCATTTCTCTGAATTTCTGTAAAAGTATATAAAGCTTGTCTGGTTGTGTTGATGGTTGAAATGCTGGTATTGATTTTTCCAGTGATGATCTCTTTTTCCCATTCATTTCACAATTTTTCGCTACTCTTTTCAAACGTAAATCCAGTGGGTGAAGTTTCACTTTAGATCTTTGCCAAATGCTTTCTGCACTCTTGCTACGTTTTGACATCCAGCTAACAGAAAAAGTCTTAAAATTGTAATAATAATTTCTTTACAATCCACTGTTGTCATTTAATATCACAATTGCAATTTAACTTTCAGTCAGTATGTAGATCTCTTGATTTTCAACAGCTGCAATTTAACTTCTAGCCAGCAGATGGAGCTCAAAAATTGCTATTAGCAAAATACAGTCTTCTATGTATTTTGTCCTCTTTTTCAGACCATATTTTTCAATATGTCATTTCTCTTTATCTTTGTTGTTTCTTATCTCCATAGTAGCAAGATAACACAGAGAAGCTAATCCAGTGACATTAATTAACTTTGATATACATTCCTCAAGGCTCTATCCCAATATTTTCTTTTTCCGGCACCTTCTCAGCTTTGCAATTGTGCGGGAGAAGAGGGAAAGTCTCACCTATTAGTAATCTGCAAATTAGAGCTTTTTTTTACTTTATTCCAATTCTTCAACAACTTCAACAACTCCCCCTTTTTCTCACGCCCTTCAACCTGCTTTTAAACTTTTAAAGAGCACAGCCAAGGTGCTAGCTTATGCTGGACTGAGTCCAGCAGTTTCAGATTGTACAAATAAGCCCTTTACGGGGTCTCACTGTCTACATCTGAGATTCAAATCTTCCCAGGAGAGAGACAAAGGAATTAACTCACGTTTCATGTGTTTTTCAGTATTTCTTGATCTTAATTTGAGTATATTTTAATCATACTTCCCTGATGGACAGGAGGAGTAAGAATTCAGTGTCCAGAGTCCATCCAAGCTAGCTCTGCCCCCTCCCCGCTGAATGAAATTCAACAGGGACAAATGCCAAGTTCTGTATCTAAGAAAAGGATAGCTAATGCATAGTTACAAGATGGAGAAAACTTGGCTCAATAATACTGCAAATGAGGAGGATCACAGGCTGAATATGAGTCAATGGTGTAATCTGACTGCAAAAAGGGCAAATGCTATTTGAGGCTGCATTAACAGAAGTATCACTTCCAAATCATATGAAGTACTTATTACCCTCTACTCAGAAATGATTAGGCCTCATTGGGAGTATTGCACCCAGTTCTGGGCACCGCAGTTTAAGAACAATGCAGAGAAGCTGGAAAGGGTTCAGAGGAGGGCAACAAGGATGGTCCAGGTACCAGAAATAAAGCCCTATGACAGGGTCCTCAAACTTTTTAAACAGGGGGCCAGTTCACTGTCCCTCAGACTGTTGGGGGCCTGGACTATAGTTTGAAAAAATATGAACAAATTCCTATGAACAAATTCCTATGAACACTGCACATATCTTATTTGTAGTGCAAAAAACAGGAAAAATGCAATATTTAAAATGAAGAACAATTTTTAATCAACATAAACTTATTAGTATTTCAATGGGAAGTATGAGCCTGCTTTTGGCTAATTTGATGGTCAATGTCCGGTTCCATATTCACTCCTCTTTTCTGTATTCTCACTCCTCTCTTCTGTATTCAGAGCCAACACATGTGTGCAATAGGGGGAAGAGCCGGCGCATGCGCAATTCACAGTGGCAAGACCAGCACACCGGCAGGAGCTAGCCAGAACTAGCAGAGAGAGCCGACACACACGCAGTTGGAGCTGTCACAGTTTGGCACATGCACCGTCTCTCTGCTCGTCTCCAAAACTGAAAGAGTTTCAGTATGCCTGCGCTGGCTCAGAGCTTTTGGACTCGTTCAGTGATTGTTTTCTCCAAATGAGTCCAAAAGTTCTGACGAAGGCCAGGTAAATGACCTTGGCAGGCCATATCTGGCCTGCGGGCCATAGTTTGAGGACCCCTGCCCTATGAGGAGAGGTTGAAATAACTGGGCATGTTTAGCCTTTAGAAGAGAAGACTGAGGGGAGATACAATAGCACTGTACACTTGAAAGGATATCACAGAGGAGGAGGACAGAATCTTCTCTTGATCATTCCAGAGTGCAGGACATGAAATAACAGGCTCAAGTTACATGAAGCCAAGTTCCAGCTAAACATCAGGAAGAACTTCTTGACTGTTGGAGCAGTACAACAATGGATTTAATGACCTAGGGAGGTTGTGTGCTCTACCTCACTAGAAGCATTCCAGAGGCAACTGGTCAGCCATCGGAGAGGAATGGTTTAATTTGGAGTCACGCACTGACCGAAGGGTTGGACCCAATGGCTGTCTGGCCCCTTCTAACTCTACTATTTTATGATTCTATGATTGACAGAAGTTGATATTTAAATGTTTACTTAGACGAATTAATTGTATTCATCCAATAATCCATTCAAGACATTTATTAGCCACTCTTAAACCTTGCCTTTCAGAGATGTTTCTGAAGTAAAACATAAAAATAAAATACAGCCAACAGCAATAATTCCAGCACCAATTACAAATCTTGCCTGAAATAAAACAGTGCTAAAATGCCTCTGGGCAAATAGAACATTTTCACCTGGTGCTGAACAGTCGGTGCCAACAGCCAAACTGCTTTGTGAAGTGGGTTCTACAAGTGGGTTGTTGCCAGAACTCAAAATAGCCCATCTCTGATCCCAAACAGCTTGATTTCAGATGAAGAGATTCATCAGGTGGGGCCTCTGAGGCCAAGCTCAACAAATGGCAGGCCCATACAAGGGCAGCTGCCCTGATGTCAAGCCACTTAGGGCCTTAGAGGTTAATCAGCAGCTTGAATTTAACTGCAAAGCAGAATTGGCACAAAATGCTCCATATGAGCCACCACCGTTAACAACGACTCATGCATTGCTGTATTTTGCAGTAACTTCAGTTTCCCACAAGTCTTGCAGATTTGTGCTAGTCTAAGTAAGTGCGTTACAATAGTCTAAACGAGGAGAGACCACTGCATGGGTGACAACAGCCAAGCTATTTTTGTTTATCCGGAGCAATGGCTGACATGTCAACCTGAGCTAATGGAAAGTACTTGGAGCTCTAGCAGCAACCTGTGCCCCCCAAAGATAACATCAGATTTAATCTCACGCTTGGACTGCAAGCCTGCTCTTTCAGTGGGAGAGCAACCCCATCCAAAATTTGCTTAGCACCCCCAACTTATTAGGACTAAGTTTCTTTTTCTTGGGTTCCATCACCAACAATCTGAGTTTTATCAAGAAAGAGAAAGCAAGGGGTACAAGAAAAAACTCGTGTGTTCAACCAGCAATCTGATGGCATCATAGGCCAAAGTTCTCATTGACCTTACATGGATAATTTAAATAATAAATGTTTCAAAATATACGCTGTATGGCTTGTATGGCTGTGTAGAATTGTAACTAATAGTGATTGTATTTCTGATAACATTACAACACCATATTTCAGTAAAAACGTCACAAGCTATTTTGTAAAATTAAACCCAATTAAACATTCTAGAAAAACAAACCCCAGCATTAAATAAGACAAAAGCAGAAAAATTCCCTTCCATTAAAACAAATCTAAAGAAAAGCAAAAAGAAAAAAAATAGCTGAACATGTCTAATATTGTACACCAGTACAGAAAGGGCCCTGTGTCCAATGATAATTTTGCCTTCTGAGATTGCAGTCCTAGAACCACTTACTGGGAGAAAGTCCAGTTGAAATCCGTGGGTCTTCTGAGTGGATTGGACATATATATAGGACTGCTCTGTTATTGCAGGGAGGGGTGGGAGTATAATCATATGGAAGGCAATAAGTAACAATGGTGATTAATAGCATTCAGTTCCACAAGATGGAGTGATGGCCACCAATTTGGATGTCTGTGTGCACCGATTGCTGGAGAACTTGGGAAGCGGTGTGTGTTGCATTCATATCATGCTTGTGGGATCCCACATGCAGCTGGCTGGCCAGGGTGAACAGAATGCTGGACTCTGTGCACCTTGTCTAATGCACGGCTCTTAAGTTCTGATGGCAGTAGGGAGCCATTTGGCATTTTACATTTACTTTGGTGTAAAAGCCATTAAGCTCAATGGGGTCTTACTTCTATCCTTCGGTGTATGTGAGTTTGCAATGCATCGTTGTCATCCAAAAATATCCCGTTAATTCTGGCAAGTTTAGCTCCAGTGGCAGGGAGGTTGCACTCTTCAAAACAGTTCAAATTAAAAGCGCGTTCTTACGTTTAAGATCTGAAATTATAGGTTTTAATTTCATTCTTTAAAAAATTAAAATGGTTTCAAACAGCCGCAACACAACCTCTAAGATCTGGTGGAAACAGAGGACGCGGTGAGGATGAACCCCTGGGAAGTGGTGGGGGCCGCTGAGGAGCGAGACATCCTGGGCAGGAACGCGCTTCAGCCCTCGCTTTGCTACATTGTTGCCATTCCCAGCCGGCTCCAGAATGTTGTGAATGGAAGAATCGCGGTTCTGGCCACGCCCACGTAAAACCTCATCTGAAGGGCTTTGGCCTCCCTTCTTGTCTGATTGGCTGGGGGCCTCCCGACCTTTGATTGACATCTTTTTTCCAGACAGACCTTATTCTTTTCTTTCCCTTTTTTTAAACCCCACAACATGGGGGCGTGCATTGTTCCTCCTTGATCGGCAGCCGACCTCGCCCAATCCCCACTTCCCTCTTCCTCGCAGGCCATCCAATGGGAAGCGGGTGAGGAGAAAAGGGAGGATCAGTGAACCAGCAGCCGTCGAGCTCATTGTTGTGGGAGCTCCTTAAAGGGGCCGTATCCGCTGCCGACGGAAAGAGAAACGACCGACGGACCGGGCCGGGCCCGGACCGCCGCTGCTGGGTTTCTGGGGAAGGTGCTCAGGAGAGGCTGGGGATCGGCCGGGCCTATGGAGCCCCCGCCCGCCAAGCGCAGGTGCGGCGCCTCCGGGGAGCAACCCGAGCCGGGACCGGGACCAGGCGCCGCTGCCGCCGCCGCCGCCACCATCTCCTCCTCGCCCCCTTCCGCCTCCATCTCCACCGCCGTGGAGACGCTTCTGGACCTGAGCGCCCGGCGGGTGGCCGAGACTTGGGCCTTCGAGCAGGTGAGAGAAGAACGGGGTGTCCGTTCCCTCTGCGGGGACAGTGCGTCGGTCTTTGCTCGCTCCTTCCTTCTTTCTTCCCCGCCCCCGGTCGCCCTTGACGGGCTTCGGCTGAAAAGCCGGCCGGTGCGGGGGAAGGAGCGGCTGGCTCCTGAGGGTCCCTTTAAATCTCTTTTTCTCCCCACACGCCCCCTTCCTTCTACCCTTCTCGGTCTCCTCTTTTAAGCGGAGGTGACGGGAGCGCAAAGCTGCCCGCAAGTATTTTCTTCTCCCTGAAGCCCCAGTGCAGAAGCCACTCTGCACACCCTCAGGAGCAATTTCACTTTCGCGCATCTGAACTTCCTTTTAGTCTTCTCTTCCTTAACGGACCTGGTGTTGGAAAATTCATTCTCAGGCTAAAGTGGGGGCAGAATTGCCAGTTTCAAACTGCCACTTTTAACTGTTCTTTTAACAATTGTTCATGTACATAATGTGGGCAGGTTCCTCAGTGTTGTAAGAACGGTTTATCTGCTGACTCCTGCACATCTCCAGTTGCTGTGAAAAGGCCCAGGGGCAGGAAAAGCCAGGTTGTTTCCTGGGTAGTTGACAATCCTAGCTATTAGCCTGACTGGAACAAAGCCTGACCTAATCTGTCTCTTTCTCTTTCCTTTGCTCCCCCTTGCTTTTCCTCTCCCCTCTGTAGTTGTCTTCTTCTGGGACTGCTCTCTTTCTTCTTGGGTTGTGGGGCTAGACTTCTTTCTTTCCCCACTTCTTACTGCCAGGCTATCAACTCCCTATTCATACTTCATTTTGCATTCTCTATAGCCTAGTAGCATCCTCTCCTTGGGGGGTCAAGTTCTGGTTGACTGAGATTACTTACCTCTTTATTAAGCCCCCCTCCCCAGAGCATTTGCACTGAGTGAAAGAGGCTTATCTCATGTGGGGGTGAGAATGATGGGCCCAGTATGGTGACATATGGAAAGAGACTTTCTGGACTTCTCCAGTTTCCCCAGTCTGACTGATCACAGCTTTCTGGGTGCCCCGTTTGGGGCCATGAGCCCTGCTTAATGGATTATTTGAGGAGCTGAGGGTGAGCTCCTGTTCTTCCAGATCTTTTGACCTCATCTTTTTTGAATTTGCTGCCATGCTTCCAAGGTCCACTGAGGGCTTTGAAGGGGGTTGGGGAGATGGACGACACACAAGGATTATGTGACTCCTGGTTTTCTCTTGCCAAGTTCTTGCATTCAGTTATGCATTCCATTCCACTTCTCTTCACAGTCCTCTCCTCTCCACCCACTCTTAGCCTTTCCTTCCTGTAGGAGGCTCTCCTTTTTACAGACTTGATGTGCTGCTTGGAGGAAGTTGTTATGCTAGGGCAGTCTTCCCCAATCTAGTGACCTCCAGATGTTTGGAACTTCCCATCAGCCCGATAGAACATTGCCAAGAGTAAAGTGAGAGCCAGTGTGGCGTAGTGGTGAAGAGCATGGGACTGGGACTCAGGCGATCCGGGTTCTAGTCCCCGCTCAGCCATGGAGCCAACTGAGTGACTTTGGGCCAGTCACAGACTCTCAGCCCAACCTACCTCACAGGGTTGTTGTTGTGGGAATAAGATGGAGGAGGATAATGATGTAAGCTGCCTTGAGCCCTTTGTAGGAAAAAGGCAGGATATAAATTGAAAAATAAATAAAAATAAAATAAATAAAGAATCCTGGGGCTTGTCATCTAAGACATTGAATGATGTCAGTTTAGGGAAAGCTTCCATAGGTGTGTTCTTCTAAGGTTTATCTGGATGTAAAGAATGAGAAATAGGAAGAATGGGAGAATTGTTGAAGCTAGACAGACCTGAAGTAGCAGAGAGATCGTGATCCTAGTCTGCCGAATGAAGGAGAGGTTAGGCTTACTACGCATGTTCCTTTCTGTTTTCCCACATCCCCATTTTATGAAAAATATTGAGCCTTGCTTACTTTGAGTTTTGAAGATCAGAGCCCAGCCATTACCTCCTTTCTTTGGACTGAGGATTCCTTGTAAGCAGCTGCAGTTCCATGCAGGAAAACAGCAGAGCTGAATTTCAGTGCCAGCCTGGGAAACTAGTCAAACAAGTCACTTGTCACTGACCTCAATGAGTGAAACTTCCAAGTCAAAGCACCAGCATGCCTGAAAGGGGAGAGAAGGCAATGGATCCCTGGACTTGGAAAAACCTATTTCTCTCTTTTTCTCTTCATTTAAATTCACTAGGCTAAAAAGGTTCCTTCATGGGAATATTTTTTGGGGGTGGCAACCAAAGGCTGCTGTGAACATCCACTTAATGATCCTGAATTCATCTGATGAATGATCCTCATGAATGGCTCTTAAACTGTCTAGCATAACCTTCCATCTCCTGTCACGGCCTGTGCTTAGAATGGAGCCATCCTTCTCCAATATGTTGGCCTCCACATCTTCCAGACTCGATCTCCCAGCAGCTCTAGCCAACATGGTCATTGGTTAGGAATACCAGGAGTTACAGTTTAAAACCTCTGGAGGGCACCAGGTTGGGCAAGGCTGCTGAAAATTGGCTACCTGCAGCCATTCTCTTCCTCCCCCATCTTACAGTCAGCCTTGTCCCTTAAGCCTTGAACATTTTGTGGCCCTTAACAAATTGGACTAAGGAAGAGAAGCAAGAAGTAGGAAGCACCAAGAGCTAGGCCTCTTTCATAAATTTTCTTTGCGTGGAAGTATACTGAGTACTACTGTAGAGACAACCCTCCAGAGGAATTACATTTTAATCCGGTACCTCATCATCGTAAATTAGCTAAAGGAATTGGCAATGGCAACACAATGCTAGTGATTTGAAACTGGCAGGGCGGTAGCCATAGATTATTAATGTGCATTGGTCTCTACCATCTCACTAAAGAGGTAAACATGTATCTGACCTGCTCTCTTTCAGACTGCAGGTGCATGGTTTGCAAGAAAAAATACTCATCTATACAAAACAATTCCTTCCATACTGGGGAGAAGGGGTTGACAGTAGCTTTCTTCCTGACACATTCAGAGAAACTCAGGTATGAAGGGGCATTCTGAAATGAAGCAGGAAGCATATGAGTTTACCTTTCTCAGCAAGAACTAAACCTTGATGCTTGCTTACTCTTTCCCACTGTTTGAGTCAATAGTCTGATAACAGGATCCCATGGAGAATTTCAGTAGTGGGCATTCAGGATTGTAGGCCAAATTATGTATCTGTAGCACATGGACAGACAATGTACCATGGCAGTTAGAGCACAGGCTATATGATGTTCCTCTCCTTGAATCTGTTCCTCCTGGGAGCCATGCTGACTGAAATGCAAATAGGATTATGTAAAGGCAGTCTTACCTAGCAAAAGAGGAAGCGGTTGTGCTGGGTGAAGAGTTTTGGTGCAACTTAAGGCAGAAAAGCATGAGTTGGATGCATCAGATCCTTTATCTGAAATCAGCTAGGAAGCTCCTCTATACAACCCCAACTTGAATACTCCTCTTTAATTTCATTTGAAGTTTCGGTAGGAGATCTTGCATATGTTGGAAGTTGCACCCACAAGTTAGTTATGGCAGGATGATTCCAATTCCATTTGGATTTTTCTTTCTGGGGCAGCAACATGGAATTGAAGTTTGCTGCATTCTCTGCCCCTCTTGCAGTTGCTATTACTGTTAAACACTTGGGATCAACAATTTAGGCAGACACTGCTGAATGCAGAGACGGTGTGTTCCCTGCTCACTAGGCTTAAGATCTGTGCATCAAAGGATACCCAGAGTGTGGTGAAATAATAACCCGAATGGGGGAAGGATAGTTCAGACTCTTCTGTGTTAACTTGAATCTGAAGTCCAAGACTGCCACAAGTCAGCCTGGGACCTTGCAGATGTGTTGGCGAGGATGGAATACTGGTACTCCAACACATTTTGAAGGCACGGGCTTAGGGAAGGCTGTCATAGAGAAGCACTTGTGGTCCTTAGGAAGAGCAGAAGGACTGAGTTTTAGAGGGGGGTTAGAGGAAAGCAAATTGGCATGACAGAAATAGGGAGGTTGTTTGCTTCCTGTGTCAAGAGCAGTGTGAAAAAGAATGGGGGTGGCTGAGAAAATGGGGTGTTAACAAGGAACTTGCACGTGGAGGAGGAATCAAGGGAAACTGCTGACAAAGGGCCTGGTGTGGAAAATTAAGAGCCTGGTGTGGAAGAAAGCTAGAGTCATAGAAGAAGGGTGGCATGAGCATTGCAACAAGGTGGGGGCAGATGAATGTAGGGAAAGTATCTGATGGAAAAGCGCTAATAGTTGAGGTGACTGCATGGAGAAGATTGCTGAAAGACAATGACCTCTTAAGACGGGATATGTCTTGTAGGTATCGTGTGATTCCAGCGAATCCAGTTTTGCACAGGTTGATGACATCACCCACAAGATCTTTATGAATCTGACGTCAAGAGTTTGGAAATCTTAAGATGATTTGACTTGACCAAATGTTCAGCTACTGTAGTAAGGAAAGAATCACAGGCAACTTTGGAATTCCTGTCTGAGGCACAAGAGGAAACTGTTGGATAGAAATTTGGCAATGATTTAGCTTTAAAGATGAACTTGCTCTCTGCTTCTTCAGCTGAGGAAGAGTGGGTGGGTGGGGGTTGTGAGAAGAGGGTGGAGGAGATGTGAGCAGATTTGTAAGCAGAACATGACTTGATGTGGAAGCAGCTTGTTCTCCAGTTAAAAAAAAAGTTGCTTATATGAATATCAGTTTGTCAGAAGGGAGATCAATCAGCTAGCTAAGTAGCAACATGTGGGCCTGATTCTGCTTTCTGGTCAGAGCTGGAATTGGCATATGAGAAACCATATTGTCTGCCCTTTGATGAAAGGAAATGTTTGCAATAGGACCTTTAGGAGCCTGTTTGATCCTCTTCAGCCATTCTCTGGATGCCAAGACTTTGTGTGGCCACCACTTAGCCTGAAACTGAGGAAAGCTTTTTGTTCCTGAACTTCCGTCAGTGCTTGCTAGTGGCAACTGTGTGGAAGTCTGACCAAAAATAGCAAGGGA